ATTTAAATCAGATTTCACTGTTGTGTGCTTCAATATCCACATCAACATTCCTTGGGGTCAGTAAAAGTGGCAGGATTGACACTGGGTAACCTTTTCGATGCAAGGACTCACACTGGGTCACATCACATCATGTAACAGGAAGAGAGAATTGTATATTTTGTATTTTGACACTACATTGCAAGGAAATACAATGTTTTTTGTACATATATTTCCCGTTGCGTTTCTTAGTAATTCCTCAAAGCAACTTCATTTAAAAGTTTTACCTATCTCTTTCTCTCTGTCTCTTTCTCTAGGTCTCTCTCCCTCTCTCGTACTATTTTTTGCCTCCATTGTTGTCTGCAGAAAATTTTAACCTTGTGGTCAGAAATTCCATTCGAATTTGAAAATAAATTGGAAACAATTTAACTTGAACTTAAAATATTATTGAAAAATGTGACTTAAGTCCATCACCAACAAAACAATGAGAGAGATCAGGAGAATTATTTGTTTTACACGCAGGGGGATATTAAGACATTGAGATATTCACTACAAAAACAGAGGATGAAGCAGAATCCATAACAGCTTTTAAAAGGGAATTGGATAAATCTTTGAAACTCCAAAGTATGAAAGGGTAATAATAAATAAGAATAATCATTGCATCTGATGTACCACCTTGTTGAACCATCTCAAAGCGCTTCACAGGATTTCAACTGTAAAGTATATTGACTGCATTTGTAGGCGAATGAAGCTGCCAATTTGCACACAGCTATGTCCCGCAAACATCACTGAGCGAATGATCAATTTTATCTGGAAAAATATTGGCTAAGACATTGGAAGAAACTCTCCCCTTTTCGAGTAATGCCATCGGATCTTTAACATCCTCGAATAGGCTGATGGGACCTCGATTTAATGATTCATTTAAAGGAACTGCACCTTCAAAAATGCAGCACCCCAGCAGCACCGTATTGGAGTTTCAGTTTAGACTTTAACATTAAAGTACTGACATGGGACTTGAACACACAACTTTCTGACTCAGAGGCGAGAGCGCTTTCAATTAAGTCAAACTGACACCTTCTTGGGCAATGCAAAAGAGAAGAGTAGTGAAACTAAATTGGTTGCTGTTATAGAGGACCTGCACGATGGGCCAGTGCTGTAAAATGCTATGATTGTATATTTCTCTGGCAAGCAATAATTTACTCTTAACAAGAAGCTCTAAACTGAGTGTGGGACTAGAGTTAACAAACTGCTCTGGGGTGGTAGCATCAAAGATTGCCTAACCATAGCTAAGTCAAGGTTGACTTGCAGTCGACTTAATTTAACTATGGTCAGGCAACCTATGATTCCAATCACACACACACACTCACAGATGCACACAAGTCGTGGTTAAGCAGCAGACCCAGAAGGCAGTCTAATTTTATCAAACACTACCTCATCACGCAGTTTAAATGACTTGTTCAGCTCCACTTGGAGCAGTCTTCATCTCACTGTATAAATACATATTTCAGCAACTCGTACCATTTCCAATTCATATTAGAAATAGATTATTTTGCTGCCAAATTATTACAGAGCCTGGCGCCTTCAGATAAAGGGGCAAAATCACCCCATTTTAATAACTGTAAATAATTGTCTTAAGCTGAATAATTTTTCTTTCCCACAGTTATTTCTGGAAATATAATTTTATAAAAAGGTTTGACTCATTGCTTATCTTTGAAATGTGTGCGGTTTATTTTTTGAAATCCTACTAATCCTGAGAATATCCTGCAAACATGGTGTGTAAAAGGTGTACCTGACTGCAATTCTTAACAGTGGCCATTTTAGCTTTCATTCTGTTGACAGTCTGTCAGGTTTTTTTTCCCATCTTGATTAACAGTGCTGTTAATAATGGTACCACACAAACTAAATTGCCGTGCCAAAGGCTCAATAAAAAAACCTGTTACTTCAACATTAATAAACTGTTTGCTTTTCATAATAACATGAGGCATGAATGACAACTACACAACAGGAAATGAGTTTTATTGCATTTCGATTAAACTGCAGTTTATTCCCCGCCGAGTTTTTTTCTCCAACTATTTGCAATCTCCACCATTTCTATTCCTTACAAGAACCATTAAAATTACTTGGAATTATACTTGCACCAACTAGTCCTGTCACTACAAGAATAATAGACTACAGTTTCCTGGTAGCAATACGAAAATATAATAACAATCCCTGTATTTGTTATTGTGTCTTTCACATTAGTAGGTCATCTCAAAGCACTTCACAGGATGTAATGTAAAGTGCATTGACTGCGTTTTGTAGGCAAACACAGCAGCCAATTTGGGCATAGCAACAACCCGCAATCAACAACAACAACTTGGATTTATATAGCGCCCTCCACACCGGACGGCATCTCAGAGCGCTTTACAGTAACGGATCCCGGGGCCAAGCCAGGGGGAAGGGGAGGAAGGTGACCAAAGGCGCGGTCGAAAAGAAAGGTCTTCAGCAAAGACTTGAAAATAGGAAGGGAGGGAGTGAGACGAAGGGAGTGAGGAAGGCAGTTCCAGAATCATGTCCAATTTTATTTGGGGAATTGTTGGCCAGGACACAGCGAAAAACTTCTTTCTCTTTTCAAGTAGTGCTATGGGATCTTTAACATCCATCTGAAAAAGCAGATGGGACCTCAATTTAACACCTCATCTGAAGGACAGCACCTCCAACAATGCAGTGGACCCCAAGCAATACATTGAAGTGTCAAGAGTATAATATGTGAGTGGACTCAGACCCCCAATCTTTTGATCCAAAGGCAAGAATCATGGAATCATAGAATTATACAGCACAGAAGGAGACCATTCGATCCATCGTGTCTGTGCCGACTCTTTGAAAGACCTATCCAATCAGTCCCACTTCCCCACTCTCTCCCCATAACCCTGCAAACTTGTCCTCCCCAATTCCACCAACCAAGCCAGGATAACAAAATATTTGTGGATGACAGCAGTGTTGTTTACAATAAATATCCCCCTAGAGAGGGAACTTTACTCCAGGAATAGATTGTGTTGGAATGGAGTCAGCGTGATGTATTTTGAGTTGCCTTGGAGTTTTTATGAAAGAATTCTATTAGACCATGCTGGGTTTTCTATTGTTTCACCTTTATAACAGTGAGTTTTAAAATTTGGTGTGATAAACTTCGCCCACAAAATATACAGTCAATTCCCTTTATAGTATATTCTGTGAAGTGGTTTGTGCTGTCTCAATGATGCATGATAAGGCACTAAATCAAATGCAAGGATTTTTTTTAGCTTCATTTTACCTTTTACCAGAGTTATTAACTGATAAAGTGCAGTTCAGACTGGAACTTAGTTATCATAAACATTTTTTTCAAATGGTTCAAGCTCTGCATTTAGTTCCCTTGGAGGAACTACTTTCAAGAATGAAACTGAGTCATACAGTCTAGGAAGATCCCAGGCTGGATTCCCTGTCTGTGTTTGGTTATCTCACCTCTGATCTAATCTCTTTATACAGATGGTAAAGATATGCAATAGACTTTTCAGGCAGCCAGTAGATGCAGAGTTAGGTCAGTAAATAGCAACGGTTTATTTGATTGAACAATTAAGATAGTGTTGGACTTTTTAACTATAGGGCTGGATAGACTATAATGAAGTACCTAAAAAAGGAGTAAGCTAAGGGCATGGGGAGAGGGGAGGTAAATAGGACTAAAAGGATCGTTCTTAAAAGAGTCAGCACAGACATGATGGACCAAATAGCCTCCTTCTGTGCTGTAAACAACTATGTTTCTATGGTCCTTTCCAGTCCTGTACTATTCCTATACTCCTATGGTCAGGGTAAGTTCGTCCACAAAATTATACAGTCAATTCACTTTACAGTGTATTCTGTGAAGCGCTTTGAGATGCCTCGAAGACTTGATAAGGCTCTATATCAAATGCAAGGATTATTATTATTATTACCACGTTTGGCATCGATGCCCCTGGACTGTGGAGAGAAAAGTTAGCCAAGATTTTGGCCCCTTTGAACTCTATTAGAAAGTTTGAGTATGTGGACATTCGGTGAAGCTTGCCTGTGAAGTTTGTCTACTCACAGTTAGGTCACCTCTCTCCACACTTAGTGGCCAGACTCATATATAAGGAACTGTCACTTGGATGAGCCACTGTGCCAGTGCCTATGAAGCTGTATGCTCACATGAATGATTCCCCTTTAGGGGAAGACAAGTATTAACTTCAACCACTAGGGGCAACTGGCAAATTTTGTAACACTTCAGTGATTGAACAAAGCAGAAATCAGCTACTAGAATGTTATTGGAAATAGTTGAGCATCTTCCATGTGCCAGGCCTCACACTCATGTTTCCTGTAGGTTTAACTGCTTCTACCTCCCACTTCCTCCAAAAAATGACCTCCTCCAATATATAACTGGACAAATACCTAAATAAGGAATAAACTACAGTAGTATGCAACAACAACAACTTGGATTTATATAGCGCCTTCCACGCTGGACGGCGTCTCTGAGCGCTTCACAATAACGGATCCCAGGGCCGAGCCAGGGGGAGGGGGAGGAAGGTGAGCAAAAGTGCGGTCGAAAAGAAAGGTCTTCAGCAGAAACCTGAAAGTAGGAAGAGAAGGGGTGAGGCGAAGAGAGTGAGGAAGGGAGTTCCAGAGCCTTGGGACATAGTGGCTGAAGGTACGACCGCCAAGGGTAGAGTGGAGGACTTGGGGACAAGGAGGAGGCCAGACCTGGAGGAACGAAGGCAACAGGAACAGTCAAGTAAATGGAACTGAAAGGATTCCTCTTAAAAGAGGCCACAGACATACAGTGGGCTGAATGGCATTCTTCTGTGCTATAATTTTCTATGTTTCTATATAGTGGCATTTCAATAGTTCTTTCTTGTGCCAGCGCTTTTCTGACGTGAAAAGCGCTACACAAATGTAATCTGTTGTTATTTAATGGGTGTCTGTCAAGTTCTTACATTTTACATTTATAATGCAAACCATTCTGAAACATCATTCGGAATAAACTCTGATACTTTTCTTACCTCCGGGAAATCCATCCCAAATTTCCAGCCTGTCAAAGCGACACAACATTCCCTCCCGTAAATTGCTGTCCGGTTCCAAGTCAAAGCTTCCGAACTCCAGGAGAATCTCTGCCATGACGGGCGCAACGATCATGTACGTGCATTCCAAATTGTTGGGGTACTTCTCAGGGAATCCTGGAGATCGAATCTCTGCACTTTGTGAAGTGTAGTTTCTGGAACATTCGGGCCCTGCAGTGCAAAACAGCTGGATTAGTAACCAATAACTAATTACACACGCAAACTGACCAATATTACATGTCATCTGACCAACAACGCATGCAGACTCATCAATAACAAACTGCAAACTCACCAGTAACACATGAAACACATGCAGAATCACCAATAACACACGCAGATTCACCAGTAACACACGCCCACTCACCGATACCACATGTACAGGCCCAAAGCCCTGCAGTGGAGTTATTATAATAATAATCCTTGCATTTGATATGGCGCCTTATAACATCTCAAAACACTTCAAAGTTGAATTCACCTTAAAGTGAAACTGTATCATAGAAATTTTTATCACAAAGGGAAGCCTTTCGGCCTATGATGTTTATACCATTGTTACCTGTTGTTACACTGTTACCTTCATTATTCATCCCATTTTCCAACTCTTCCCCCCAAAATAAATGAAAAATAATAAATTGGTCACTCAGTTCATGACTGTTTGTGAGACACTGCTGTGCACAATTGGCTGCCATGTTTCGCCACACAAAATATTCAGTCAAATCACTTTACAATATATTCTGTTAAGCACTTTGAGATGTCTCAACGACATAAGGTGCTATATCAAATGCAAGAATTATTATTATTGCCTTTCATCCAAGACCCTTCTGGTCTGTATGAATCAGTTTCCGACTGGACACCAATGGAACCATCAAGGGAGCATTTTGACACAACTATTTAAAGAACTGAGGAAAAAAAATGCGATATTTCTAACCAAATTCTCTAATAAAGAATCCGAGTCGCACAAATGGAGATTCTTTATGGTAACCAGACATGAGTTGCATTGTAGAAATATGCTCTGACACAATTTACAGTGCATTACAATACAACTTACATTTATATAGCACCTTCCATGTTGGGAGGATATCCCAAAAAGCTTGACGCTTCTGGCTGGGCAGCTAAGCTAGGAGCTGGGAACCAGAAGGGTGGTGGGGGGTGGGAGGGGGGTAAAGGTGACTGAAGAAGTCATGGAGGTTCATCTTGAGATGAAACATTGAACAAGGTAAGAACGGATTTACTTCCAGAGTGGAATCTGGCTGAATTTCTAACAAGATCCCTTATTAAGAAATCCTGCATTTTAGACTCCATGTTTTATTAACATAGGCACATGTACAAACACTGCAGGAAGACGTCCATGGGTGAGACTGCATAGCCCAGCTTTTTGTTTCCAGGTACTTCACCTCTTTTGTGCATCCATGCAGTGAAAGCTTATGTGTGTCCTCTCATACTGTACAGTAGCAATCCCAAATGGCATCTGCATCTACACCAATGGCTTAAGGATAAGTAAAGGTAAATTGGGTGCAGAATTTCCATTCATATAAACACTACCATATGTAAATGTTCACAGCTTGACTGAAAGCAGGTACTTATGTCGCTTAATAAGTGAGTAAAGAAAATAGACAAACAAGACCGCAAGGTTGCCAGCACTGGCCCAGTTCACGGAATAGCCTATCAGATTGGCACCTGATACTGAGAGGAGTCCACCATTCACTGAAGTACATTACAATCAAATAGAGACCAGTGGAGCTTTCTTACTTCACAATGGTTCTGGCCTTTGACACAAAGGCATGTTTCTTAAGGTTTAACAGCTTGGCTTTATGTGACATCAAGCAATAAATATAATGGCATTCCTAATCCAGCACAGCACGAGGGTTAGGCATGTGTGGGGTTTAGGAATTTCAGCTGCCCGCTAAAGAAACAGTAATTGCACCTTTCCGGCTGTTAATTTAAATTTTAAAGCAGGTTTTATGTGAGAAGGGCAGTATTTCACAGAAGTCAGTGGGATGCACAGGTCTGTGCGAGCTGAGCATTGCGGCCCTGACTTTCCACTGGGAGTGCTTGCCATTGCCTACCAGATGCGACCTATCATGCACTGACACATGGGGGCATGAAGCCTAATGTGTACAGCATGTGGCTGCAGGCGGGTTCTCGAGCGGGAGAGTGTTGATACAGCTGCTGCTATGTAGTGTTGGAGCGAAAATACAATGATAAATCTAGGTTGTTAGTGGAAGTTTTACACGCGCTCAGTGATACATTTCTACTTATTTTAAGCAACACTAGAAAGAATCATTGCACCACTGAAGTTTTTTTTAAAAAAGTGCCACGTCAGCTATTTCTGTTGAACCACTCAAGACAAGTCTAGCAGAGGCAATGTGTGATCTTTTGTGAGTGTGGCTCCTGACTAATGGAGCATAGCTGTTCCGATGTTTAATTTTCCTAAGGATTGGCTCCTTCAAGTAGCTTTTGGAGCCCACTACATGGTACAGACCATTAATTGATAATCAAATACACTTAGTTAGCATTTCTTATTTGCGTGTCCTGGGGTGATTTAGCACATCCCAATGTTAGGAAATGAGCACTAACTCATTGATTCCCGTGGAATCGATGGCCTTACCCACAAGATTGGCACAGTCGCTGTCAACACGGGTAGAAATCCAAGACCAGAAAGGAATAGCAATATGTGCGCATGTGATTTGTGTTGGGTGTATTATTATGTGTGTGTGTGTGTGTGTCTGTGTTGTGTGTGTAATCCGATGGTGCATTGTAAGTGTGAATGTGTTTTGTGTGTGCATTGTGAATGCATTTAGTGAATGCATTGTGTGCTGGGAGTGTGTTGTGCTGTGTGAATATGTGTTTTGTGCATAATTGTATGCTATGTGTGTGATGTGAGTATGTTGTATTGTGAATGCTTTATTTATGCATTAAGCGTGGAGTCCTGTAGCTCAGTGGTTAGAGCACTTGCTTTGCAAGCGAGAGACCTGAGTTCAATTCCAGACAGAGGGCGAAACCTTGGGCAAGTTTCCTTACTCCACACGCCTAATAATAATCCCTCCAAAACCAAAAACAATAATAAAATTGGCATTTTCAATCTACGACTGTTTGTGGGACATTGCTGTGCGCAATTGGCTGCCGCGTTCGCCCACAAATTTACAGTCAATTCACTTTACAGTGTCTTCTGTGAAGCGCTTTGGGACATCTAGAAGGCGTGAAAAGCGCTATATCAAATGCAAGGATTATTATTATTATTATTATTATTATTATTATTATTATTATTATTATAAGCGCTCTGAGACACTACCCTGCGTGGAAGGCGCTATATAAGTGCAAGTTGTTGTATGTGTGGAGTCAATGTGTGGAGAGTCGAGCGTGTGAGCTGCTAAAGAACCAGGTAATTTCCATCCCATTGACAGTGTTCTGGTTTCACCTTAATCTTATCCTGGATTTCTTTCCTCAACCCCAGATCTGCACTTGTCCAGAGGTTCTTGAAAATTTGTGGTCACGCCCTTCAGTTTGTATATTCATGCCAGTAAATCACCCTTTGAATGTGGGAATTCAGTCGTGAGAAGCAGAAACCTTCCAAGACAACCAAATTGACATTCAGATCTACGTTTGACCATCAATTTCAAATAATTAGGTAGAAATTATGGCAGATTAGCAATGGAGAGAGTGAATATGACTTGATCTAATTAACAATGCTCCAATGAGAAGGACTGTGCTTTTATTAAATTAATATTAAACTTTCAACTTTCCTTCAGGCTAAATGAATTCTGACATGTAATATTCGCTGGTACCACACACTCCCTGCTTTGTTATCGCTGCAATGCTAATCATGTCTTCAGGTGTCAAGAAAATCAAATTACAACCAAAATTAGCTTTTAATTTACTCAAAAGCTTTTACTTTTCATTTGGGCTTGAGGAACTGACAGTTTGTCTTCCACTTTGAACAGCAGTAACCTCCCACAAAGAGCTCTTGTCTAAATGCTAGCAACTTGCACAATCACTCTGACTTGCAAAATGTGTCTACTCTCCTGTACACTTAACCTGCGGCTCCCTTGACATAGAAGAGTGCTTCGCTGAAGGACTCTGCTCTCTCTTTCTGCGAGCTGCACATAGCCCAAATAATACTGATCCCCTTGATTAAACAGCCATCAAGGAAAATGAATGACCTGTGTCGTTATGGTATTTGATATGATTATTAATAATAATATAGCACCTTTCATGTTGGGACAACATCTGAAAGCACTTTGTAGGATACATTGTAAAGTATAGTGACTGAGTATTTTATGAGTGAATGCAGCAGCCAATTTGCACACAGCAACTTCCCAATCAATTTTATCTTGGGAGATTGTTGACCAGGACACCATGAGAAATCTCCCTTCTCTTTTCCAATAGTGTAATGGGATCAGTAACTCCCACCTGAATAGGTAGACAGGGCCTCGGTTTAACATCTAATCTGAAGGATGGCATCTCCAACAATGCAATGCACCACCAAGACTGTGATTTTGAAGCCCTGATTTGGGGCTTGAACCCAAAACCTTCTGACTCAGAGGTAGGAGTGCTACCAACTATGCCAGTCTGACAACTTACTTTTAAGTAAGACTCTAGACAGGAACCAATAAGTATTCCTATGTCTGTGTGGAAACAGCTCAGCAAGGTGTCTGAGGTTGCTCACTGGCATCTCCAATAAATTGATAGGACAAGTGGGCAAAATGTCTTTTATGTGCACGGAGAGGAGATATTGGGTTCTAATATGCAGCAATTTCTAATGGCATTCCTTAATAAGGAAATAAAGTGCACCAAGGGGAATTCCACTCTGAAGCAATCTACCTTCAGAGTGGTGATGCCTTCCGTCAGCGTGAAATACGTGACATACATCCGGCAACTGGAAGGAACCCTCATTTATCTTTCTATACAGACTGTTTAAAATCTTTATTAAGGAATCCCGTTTGAAATTGGCCTGTGATAGACCCCACTGTCAGCAAAGGAATATTCAAAGCCCTCTTTCAAAAATAGATTTTCAAAAAATAACTTGCTTCACTAAAGCGTGCATGAGAGAAAGAATAACAGAACGTAGAATAATTCAGTTTTACCAATGAACTAGAAACCTATAATTTAATTGATGCAATCTGAGATAACCTCCAGTGTTTCCAGATCATGACCAGAGAATGAGCAGTTTCAAG